AACTGATGAAAAATCAAGTCCATGCTTTATCAATCAAAACAAGATAAAAAAAAGAACGTTTTTGGATTTCTATCACAATGCAGAAAAAGGTTAATATTGCAAAAAGAAGTACATTGAGAAAGCACAACAAGGACCCAGCCAATGAACCTCCAATAGCCAAAAGTGCCAAGAAGCGGAAGTCAAAAATTACCTGCTCAATAAAAAGACAAAAAGGGTTAAATCAGATTAGAATATGATCATGGTCTTACTTTTTAAGTGGACTTTCAATGAAGAATAAATTTTGCAAAGTCATTCTTTACTCAGATGTTGTGCTGACTACCTCAATCAACAAAAAATGTTAAACAACGAAGCTGGCACATTAGTCTATTCTGATGGTAAACCCAAACATCAAATAACCCGTGTAGGCAGAGCTCACCTTAAATATCTTTCTAATCACTCATTGAAGATCCAAATAATCACTTTTTCCATGAAAAGATGAAAATCGTAAAACAAACAAATCTCTCTAGCAAATACATGATATAGATATATAATATAGACTTTATGGTATTGGTACCTCTGGATAAACCAGAATTGGCCATTTTATTTTCTAAGGTCCTTCTTGGGCATTTAGGAAACAGTCCATCTCAATAAATAATAGAGGATTACTTAATAAGGGTTGGGTTCCTTTATTCTACAGTTATGACCATATATGGCCAAGTTCATATACAATTTAAAGGTAAAACCTGAATAGTAACTATTCAGAAGAATTTCAAGGTCCATGACAAAAGAATTTCAATATCCTCTGCTTAATTGCACAGCAGAAGTGATGACAAGACCAATTTACACAGAGTGGAATACGAGAGCAAGATGAAAAATTAATTATAAAGGATTGAAGACAGATGACTAGACTGTAATATAATGTTGCTAAAAGAAGATAGTTACTGTATTAGAGAGATGCAGATAAAAGAAAGATGAGAAGAAAAGATCAAAATTTATTAGAGAAGAGGTAGAAGAAGTGCCAAGTTACAACCAGAAATCGCCATACTTTTATTCACCAAATCATCACTTACCAATTCTAATTACAAGAATTGTGTATATAGATTCAACATAAGGGATCATATCACCCTCTACAGGGTGACTAAAACTCAATAAACTAACTAGAATTGAATCCTGCTTGCATTAAAGATAACGTAAACCCACTAGAAAAATTCAGATACAGAATAACTCCCAGAAAAATCCCGAATATCCCTTACTAATTGTGCCAAAGCTAATAGAGACAAAAATAAATCCAATATTAACCAAAAAACTTTAGAACAACCCATATCCTGTCACAGACTCACATTCTATCAGTAAAATAGCCACAACTTTCCAGATTAACAGATTCACATTGGACATAGAACCTTGGTCACCTTGTATAAGTAACCAATATTCTATCTAATTACATCAAAATACATGAAACAGACAAGTCTTGTCCCATGAAAAAATAATCTAAAAGAGAATTGACATGATCAAAATTTCAATTTTTCAAAACCCTGAAAACTCTCTAGTAAAATTCKTTCAACWATTTTGATCCTTTACTATTCCTAAGATGATTAATGCCCAAACAAAACAGTGTTGTACAAAGACCAAAGCTAGAAAAGAAAGGGATATGGAACCTCAGAAGCAATTCATGGAAAATGGTAATTCGTTCAAAACAGCCTGATCTCTACAAATCCCCATTCACAGATATGTATAATAGATGGAAAACTCTACTTCACATCTAGATATTCATACTTTCAGTGTATTTTTTAAGACCGTTAAAGGGACTCATATAAGTTAACAACTACCACCTACCCACATATTCATTCAAAACAACCTGACTTCTACAAATCCCCAGCCACAGATATGTATAGTAGATGGAATATTCTCCTTCCTTTCACTCCTAGGTATTCATACTTCCATGTATTTCTAAGACCAATAAAGGGGCGCATATAAGTTAACAATTACCAGCTACCCGCATAACACTTTTCTTCTAGACTAAGAAAATCTGGCTCCATATTTTCTTGAACCCTTCAGAGGTGGATAGTAAGATTTGGAATATTGCTTCATCCGGTTCATTTTCTTACGCTTCATTCTTCTCGGCCCTGACCCAACCCTCAAACAGTTCTATGTTGCTCTTTCCGGTCAAGGAGGTTTTGAACAAGCCTATCCCTCTAAGGTAAGTGGTTTTTATTGGGAAGTCCTATTGGAAAGAATCAACATTTGTGATGACAAAATTGGTGCCTTTCCCCAAATTGGTGTGTCCTTTGTAAAGCTAATGGTGAGACTTTCTACCACTTATTAATTTCCTGCCCTTTTCTTTCAGTAGAAATCACTAATTGCAGATTTAGTTGAATTCCTTGTGAAGGGAAAGAAGAAGAAGATGAAGATTTCAGCAGTAGAGAATAAAAGAGGAGAAGAAAAGAGTAGGAAATCAACCAGGATTCTTAGATTAACCCTAACCGCCAACCCCTCATTATAATTTATACTTAACTTAAAGGATGAGATATTACAAGAATACCCTTAGTAGGGCGGCTACTAAAGTAGCTGAACAATCACAACTTAAAAACATAAACTAATGGGCCTAAAGCCCAACAACTTCCTAACTAAATAACTTAAAATAAGAATAAAACAACTAGGCCCAACTCAACACTCCCCCTCAAGCTGGGAGTAAATGTCACACATTCCCAACTTGCGTAGATCATGCTCCATCTTGTTCTTTGCAACACCTTTTGTGAGAACATCAGCGAGCTGCAGATCAGAAGCAATGTATGGAAGACAAACTTCTCCAGAAATCACTCTTTCTTTGATAAAATGTCTATCCACTTCAATGTGCTTAGTTCGGTCATGCTGGACTGGGTTATGGGCAATGTTAATTGCTGCCTGGTATCACGGTACAACATCATAGGTTATTCTTCCTGTACACCAATTTCTTCTAATAGGGAACGAATCCAGAGAAGTTTTGAAACTCCATGTGCCATGGCCCTTATTCAGCTTCAGCACTTAATCTTGCCACCATTGTTTGTTTCTTACTCTTCCATGAGACAAGGTTACCCCCAACAAGGGTGCACACTCCTGAAGTTGATCTCCTGTCATCAAGGCATCCTGCCCAATCTGCATCTGTRTAAGCCTCTAGTTTCAACTATCCATGATCAGTAAACAATATGCCTCTACCCGAGTGTCCTTTCAGATAAGCAAGAATCATGTCAACTGCCTCCCAATGCTAGACTCGTGGAGCATGCATGTATTAACTTACCACACTTACTGCATAGAAAATGTCCGATCTTGTCATACACAAGTATAGCAGTTGACCCACAAGTCTCTGATATCTCCCAATGTTCTTTACTGGCTCACCTTCTGATGCATTGATTCTATGGTTCTGATCAATAAAGGTACTAATTGCCTTCGTTCCAAGCTTCCCTGTTTCTTGAAGAAGATCCAAGACATACTTCCTTTGAGAGATAAAAATTCCATGTTTTGATCTTGCAACTTCAATGCCTAAGAAGTATCTCAGTTCTCTAAGATCCTTAAATTCAAATTCTTTATGTAGATTCCTTTTCAGACAATCAATCTCACTTAAGGCATTCCCCGTGACAGCAATATCATCCACATAAACAATTAGGACTGACACCGAAGATCCCCTTCGCTTCACAAACAAGGTATGATTGGATTGAGTCTGATTGTAGCCAAAAGAAATCAAGGCCTTTCTGCATCTATCAAACCATGCTCTAGAAGATTGTTTCAAGCCATAAAGTGACTTCTTAAGCCTGCATACATTTCCCTTTTCAGCATCACTGTAGAAACCAGCAGGAAGATCCATATACACTTCCTCTTGCAGATCCCCATTTAGGAAAGCATTCTTCATATCAAGTTGAAACAAGGGCCAAGAGTATGTGGCAGCAAGAGAAAGAAGTATCCAAACAGAGGTCATCTTTGCAACTGGTGCAAAGGTCTCTAAGTAATCAATGCCATAGGTCTGTGTATACCCTTTTGCAACAAGTCTGGCCTTGTACCTTTCTATACTTCCATCTGCCTTATATTTTACTGTGTAAACCCATCTGCATCCAACTATCTCCTTGCCCTCTGGTAGATCCACAATGTCCCATGTCTGATTCTTAATCAAAGCTTTCATCTCTTCCTACATAGTTGTCTTCCACTCAGGTTTGGGGAGAGCCTCACTAACACCCTTGGGTATAGACACAGAGTCAAGAAAGGAAAGAAAAGCACAGTAGGAAGGAGAAAGTCCACTGTAGGATAAGTACTGTGAAATACAATGAGCAGTACACTTTCTCTTTCCTTTTCTGAGAGCAATAGGAAGATCGAGGTTATCTGTAACAGGATTAGTAGAATCAATGAGAACTGAAACAATAGCGGGATCAAGAGGAATACCCGAATCCATGTCAACTGAATCTAGAGTCACCAAGGAACCAACAGGAAGTGATGTGAGTTATGTTGTAGTCGAATCAACCTCCCTGTGAAGTCCTGTCGTGAATAATGCTGAGAAGCAAGATGCAAAGGAGGTGGTAAGGTAGGTGACACAAGAGGGTCAAGCACAGGAGTAGACATAGGGACTGGAACTGGGAGAGGAATAGACTGCTGAATCACTTCCCTAAAACACTCCCCCTGAGAAGGATTCCTTGAGAAGAAGTATGTGGATTCAAAAAAGGTAACATCCATGGTAACATACCGGCTCCCAGAGACTGAATCATAGCAGTAGTACCCTTTCTAATTTTCTACATATCCAAGGAAGACACACTTCTTTGCCTTGGGATCAAGCTTCGAGCGGTGAGAACCAAGGAAATGTGCAAAGCAGACACACCCAAACACCCTGAGAGGAATATGAAACATCTCCCCCTCAGGAAAAAGGAGACTGAATGAGGTGCTGAATCCAAGCATACGAGAGGGCACCCTATTAATCAGATATACTGTTGTGAGAACTACATCACCCCAAAACCGAACTGGAACTGTAGATGTGATCAGCATGCTTCTTGCAATCTCAACAATATGTTTGTTCTTCCTTTCTACAACTCCATTCGGCTGTGGATTGTAGGGACAACTGCTCTGATGGACAACACTATATTCTAACAGATATGAGGCAAGGTGTTTTTCAAAATATTCCCTGGCATTATCTAATCTGAACACCTTTATTCTTGTTCCAAACTGTGTTAGCACCATCTGATGAAATTGCCTCAC